TAAGTACGTTGATATTACAATGAAAATTCGGTTAATTTTACAATTATTTGTATCACTATGACGTCTTACCTGGTAATGAAAATAAATTTTCAATACGGTCAGTATCTCCCGTTCGTACCAAGCTGTAGAAGTGAAATCGAGACACATTTAGCTGTGCATAAGTAACGAGCAAAAATAGTACACAAATAAGTAAATTTACTTAAAATACAGTGGAAATTCGTTCATAATCTCTCTTACTAATTTTTGATCTTGAACACTTTGGCTTGATTCTTCACAGAAAATTCGCGTGAAGCTCTTGAGGATATCTTCTTTTCGATGATAATGTTCATCGTAATTTGTACTTTTCATCACCCGTCTGCATAGCTCGAGGTACTGCCCCCTTCGCTGCAAAAAGTATTCCCCTCAAACTCGGTACTGATTCGAGTCACTTTTATGAATCACCTCCAAAGTTCTGAACTTACCTTATCACCTGGAGATAAATCGGAAATATTCCTAACAACTATATCTATGAGTACTTTAATATCGTTTGTGTAAAACAAATCGGCCGTACTTTTTCGACTGAACAAATCCAAGAATAACTTCAAAAGGGAATGTGGTGGTGACGGTTCGTGCTCAAAAATGCGCACGGGATCCTCTGCAATTTCCATATTAATAATCACCAAAGCTAAACAGAAGTGATTACCTTCTCTATTGAAAAGTAATAGAATTTTTTCCGTAAACGTTTTCGCCATGCTCTTCCCTTCGAGTGTATTTAAGACGACATTGTCGGCGTCGGTGTCGAATTGCAAGTTGAAGGAGAGCAAAAACGTTAAAAACAAATCGGGAATCTGTTCTTCAATGTCGGTGTCGGGGGGAGACTCGATGTTGTTGAGTATAAAGTTGAGGAACGGTGGGCCAATTTGGTCTAAAAATTAATGTTAAGGTTGCACGCGATTTGCACGATGTTTGATTTACCCAAATGTGTTATAGGCATTCTCTCTCCCAGAGAAAAAATCATTGTGAGTAGAAGGGATGAGTATTTAAGCTTGGATATGTTCCGGGAATTCGACAGCATATCCCTGTATAATAAAGGTGATTTGGATTATTCAGTTATAAGTTGCAATTGGATGGTTGTTTGTAGATCATTTAAGCAGAATCCATCAACAAAACAAAAATATTTAATGTACAACGAAATTTACAACCCCCGCAATCGAATACTGTTACGTTAGGGAGAACGAATTTTCTTAGAAATTACGAAATTTCAGTACGGTAAGGGATTTTACTTATAAGTTGCAATTGGGGGGTTGCTTGTATACCATTTAAGCAGAATCCATCAAACAAATAAAAATATTTCATGTACAATAACATTTACAACCCCCGCAATCGAATACTGTTACTTTAGGAAGAACGAATTTTCTTAAAAATTACGAAATTCCGAAACGGTAAGGGTTTTTACTTATAAGTTGCAATTGAGGGGTTGGTTGTAGATCATTTAAGCAGAATCCATCAAAGAAATAAAAATATTTCATGTACAACGAGATTTACAACCCCCGCAATCGAATACTGTTACGTTAGGGAGAACGAATTTTCTTAGAAATTACGAAATTTCAGTACGGTAAGGGATTTTACTTATAAGTTACAATTGAGGGGTTGCTTGTAGATCATTTGAGCAGAATCCATCAAAGAAATAGAAATATTTCATGTACAACAAGATTTACAACCCCCGCTATCGAATACTGTTAGTTTAGGAAGAACGAATTTTCTTAAAAATTACGAAATTTCGAAACGGTAAGGGTTTTTACTTATAAGTTACAATTGAGGGGTTGCTTGTAGATCATTTGAGCAGAATCCATCAAAGAAATAGAAATATTTCATGTACAACAAGATTTACAACCCCCGCAATCGAATACTGTTACTTTAGGAAGAACGAATTTTCTTAAAAATTACGAAATTTCGAAACGGTAAGGGTTTTTACTTATAAGTTGCAATTGGGGGGTTGCTTGTAGATCATTTAAGCAGAATCCATCAACAAAATATATATATTTCGTGTACAACAAGATTTGCAACCCCAGCATTCGAATACTGTTACTTTAGGAAGAACGAATTTTCTTAAAAATTACGAAATTTCGAAACGGTAAGGGTTTTTACTTATAAGTTGCAATTGGGGGGTTGCTTGTAGATCATTTAAGCAGAATCCATCAACAAAATATAAATATTTCATGTACAACAAGATTTACAACCCCCACAATCGAATACTGTTATGTTAGGGGGAACGAATTTTCTTAAAAATTACGAAATTTCGAAACGGTAAGGGTTTTTACTTATAAGTTGCACTTGGGGGGTTGCTTGTAGATCATTTCAGCAGAACTCGCCATAGCTACGGATGGCCCGTAGACTCACCCCTCTACGTCATTACCGTTATATTCGACGCGCTACTTGTACCTAAAAGATTTACAGCGGCAAAATCCCTAAAAGTGGGGTTGTTCGTCATTAACTCATTATTGATTACCTATGAAAAACGACAAAACAACAAAAATTAAACGTAAGGGTATACACTTTATGAGCGTTAATTAAGGGTTGATACAGCCAGATTTAATATCAAATGCCCTACGTAAAGAATTACCTACTCTTAAAACACCCTTAAATTCGTCCCATATTACGTTTACCTGTGCTTAACGCTCTTTATTGTACAACTAGTTTGTTAATTGTGTAGACGTTCTAACTGCTCTTTGTGAGTACCCTTTGCGGAAAAATGCTCAACATTTCAGGAGACCTACCAGAAAGTAAGTAAACTGTAGAAGTGGATTAACAAAAACGAAACAATAGCATATTTTTATTAATAAATTAATAAATGCGCCACCTAACGGTAGATCATCTGTAAAGGTTTATTTACCTGGCAAGTTCACTCGGCAGAACGGAATTTAACATAATTGTTACGACAGTACCGTCCAAATTGCAGAGTACTCCGAACGCCTGAATTAATAACTGTCTAATTGACCAACGAACTTCCATTTGATAATACTGAATCAGCGTCGTGATAACATGGTAATGATCGATCGAAATGACATGCTTGGATATGCTGGCGTCGGCGTTCGACTAAAATTCGGGAGTAAGGGGCACGTTGTACTGCAATTAGTCTTACCAGAATTGATATCAGCTCCGTTATGTACTCTTTAATAACCCCCTCGTCTTCGTGCAACATCCAGCTTCTCTGCTGGGAATCTTCTTTGCACGAGGTCAGCTCGTTGAATATGATTTTTAGTCGGCTAGCATCGTGGGTTTGGTCGATTTGAACGTCGTCGGCGACCAGAGACGTCTGGCAGTGTGTTAAAATTGTACTCAAGTAGGGAAATGCAGATGCGGGTAGCAGGTCGTGCAAACCTTGAATTACGGTTTCCAAGGCGACTTTAGACATTTCGTGCGATAACTGAGTGTTAATTCGCACGCTCTCCACCAGCTCGTACACCGCTTGCGAGGTAATTATTGGCGAAACTTTGGCGTTTGAAGCGGTTAGTATATTCGGTTCCGAGATTTTACGTTCAGCGGTCTCGGGAGGTTTGCCATTTGCTTCCTTGATGGACTCCTCTAATGGGGGTTTTGCATCAGTCGCGCTGCACGATGTATTACTAGCCGTGCCGCTCGTTGTTTCTAAGCTACCGTCTGAATTACGAAATAAAAGTGGTGGAAGAACGGTCGTCTCATCGCTGACTATTGAATTTTCTTGAATTTCTGGTAGAAACTCGACCTGTCGTTTTAGCTCCTTTAGTCGCACCAGTATATCCTTTTTGCTTCCCGATAGCGGCTCTATTTCTGTGTACTGCAACGACACTATTGCGTTTTCTAAGAATTCCAAGTAGAATGCCGCTTTCACTGTTAACGACTCGACGTAATTCGAAGGAACAAAGCCCATCTCGCCCTTCGCATTTATTACTTCCCACCAATTCTTATGCTTCGTTCTAGTTTGGTGTAAAATGAAGTATTCGTTACTTTTAAAACTTAAAGCTTGAGGGTAAGTTGCTTTAAAATCGTACATGCTGCGAAGCATCTCTAAGCTACCTAAAAATGTACTTGGAACGTTCTGTTCTTTAAAAAATGCTTTAAATACCTATCGTTATTATATTATTCGACATTTTCTAAGTTTGAATTTCTAAATATTTACAAAAGTTTGTTTATTTACTGTCAGCAGTCACACCTATTAACATAACCTCAATCTATTTAAATATTCCCAATATTCAGTGGCGTAACATACATACTTATTATAGGAGGTTTATCTTTGATGAATAAAAGAAATCGTTCAGTGCCTTTTAGACCCTTTAGGACAAGAAACGCTCATATGACATTAATTCGGCACTGGAAAACTTGCCAGAGCAATAGAAAGAGTTGTGGGACCTCCTAAACATTTTGAAAGGTTTATATATGATCGTTTTTCTAGACCAGCCAGTCCAACGCACTCCCGGCAAGATCAATACTCCTTATGAGTTTTTTCCAGTAGGTACTTCAAAAGCTCCAACTAAAAACCTTTTAGGGCTTTTCCATCCCCTTCCAGATTCATTTAACCCTGAACACTTCTAAAACTAGTCGAGAATAGTTATTTTTGAAAGGACGTGAACATTTCTGGCAGAAAGTTGAACCTGGACAGACATGTAGTCAGAGTAGCCGGCAGAATGCTCGAAACTGATCTAAGAAAATTCCAATTTTTGCCACAGATGAAAAATTCTTACCTAGGCCCAGATTCGAACACTCGACCTCCCGGCTATGTAGCCCAACGCTCTACCACTGAGCTACAGAGTCGGTCATCATGAATCCCCCGAATTATCGTGTCTCCCTCAAAATCAGAAATTGGAAAGAGTGGAAGGACTATAAGGGTTAAAAAACTTTGGGGATTGGGGAACGTTCTAGAAAGACACTATAACGCTTTATTAGACACAAGAAAGCTTTATATTGCTCTGGCGAGTGTTTTAGTGCACAGGAAAGAGGTCCAATCTAGCGGGTTCAGTTCTCAAGTGATAGGGCAGCTGAAGTTAGCAAATACCACAAATTTATATTACCAAAATCAACCAATGTATTATGTGTACAAATTAATTGTTTTTATGGTGTGGATACATTACTTCATCAATGAATATGTCTAAGTATGCTTTCCTTAAACACCCCCTTGGTGTGTTCCTATAAAATGAAAATCATATCACAAATAATTTCAACAGCATTCACAGTACGTACAGAAATATCGGTCTTCAAATCCCTACCGTAGGCTTTGGAGTACTCCTGCATGATGGTGTCGACTACTTTAACTCTGGGAACCAAAATCCTGACCAGTTGTTCGTTCTTCCGCTCACCGGCAGTCATGCAATGATGTAACTGTTCGGCAAAGTACGCCGGAAGATTCCTGGCGGTGGCGACAATTGCCAAGAGCCCGTCTTTTGCGTGTCCCGAAAACTCCTTTTCTATGGCGTACTCGAGATCGTGCCCAGACAGGTGCTTGTATTCGTCGCAGATTAATTTCAACTGATTGTGGTTGCGCGTGCCCAAAATGTCGTAGAAGACCTTCTCATCGGTGCCTATTTTATCCAGACCTGCACAACGGATTATGGTTAAAAAAAAACCTAAAACCTAACAATAACCTGCTTTGTGAAGGTGTAGAGCGTCAGCGGCGGCTTGTGCCTTATTGGTAGCTCCACTGTCGTCACGGTTTGCTTGAAGTATGGCAACTAACAAGTGTTTGAAGTCTCCACTGGTATCACCTTTGATGTCATCAATTAGCTTGTGCTGGAATTCTGGAGGCAGTTAGTAATAAATCCAATGCTGGATCACTTACCAGCCTCGTAAGCGTCAATAACAGCCCACATTTCGCTATTGGTCAAAGTGCAAAGAATCTCAATTATCACGTTTTCATTGGTGCCAATTCCCATAATGGCATTATGTAGTTCTGTGGCGTAGAAGACAGGGGTTGGTACAACTAAAGCAAAGAGCAGGTGTTTCATTTCGTCCCCAGCGTGACTCGCTAATTCTTCCTTTAAGAACTAAAGCAGTGGGCTTATTTGGCGTGAGCCTTTGAACAATAAACAGACCTTTCCATATTTCAGTTGAAACTGATGGGCAATCTCAAGTCGCTGGTCGTACAATCTATGGCTTAAAATATCGGCAATTCCTGATGTATTTCCGATGGGCAAGGCATGTTTTATGAATTCGGCATCGCTTTTTAAGTCGTTTTGTTGGGGTTCAGATGATAATCCCTAAAAAAGAATCTGGATGTTGCGATGGCTAAGGACGGGGTTAATACTTACATCAGCGATAATGTATGCAAGGTAAAACAACCACGATGGGCCCATTTTTGATGTCGGATGTCACTGTCGCTGCTCTTCCAAGCCCTTGTCTTTTGTAAAACGAGTTTATGTTATCCACGGGCGTATTACAGTAACTATTTCGGCTATCTAGGACGATAACATCTTGACCTTTTAATGTTTTCCTATACAGTTATAAGAATCCCCTACCCTAGTCAACGTTTGCAAGATAAATGAATAATTATAGTAAATTTTCAAGAATTTTTTTACGAAATTGTTTAAGTAATATTGCAAGATTTTTTGCGAGGATGTTGAGGAAACGCAGCCGTTGATCTTACGAAAAAAAAGTACAAGTAAAAGTAAAGAAGACAAAATGCCTAACATATTTTGTAATAAACTTTTTTGCACTTTTAATTTGTTCCGAGTTGCAGCGGCGGAAATATGAACATGTTTCCCAAAAAAAATGGGAAACTCCCAATGTTATTTCGAAAAAACCGATCTTCTGTACGTTTCCATCAAGATGGCGGCACGAGCGGTCTTCTACCAAGGTCAAAAGCATATTTTTTCAAGGTTTGTGGGGCAAAGACCTTATTTGTCCCCTACTGACCAGAGCTGGGCAGAATACTTTCAAAAAGTATTTGAATACTAAATAGTAAATACTTTGCACAAATCAAAGGTATTTGAATACTAAATACTTTTACGTCCAGCACAAGCGAATACTAGATACAGATACATTGAAAAGTATTCAAATACTTAAAAAAATAAGTATTCAAATACTTTCAAAAGTATTCGAATACTTTCAAAGGTATTCTAATACTTTCAAAAGTATTCTAATACTATCAAAAGTATTCGAATACTATGAAAAGTATTCGAATACTTTGAAAAGTATTTCATTATCTTACTTTGAAAAGTATTCGAATACAGTAAAAAGTATTCAAATACTTGTCACACAAATACATAAAAAATTTAAAATAGTATACTAGATAAAAGGCTTAATACTACTTAAAAAATCAAGTTATACTTTGTATGGGGTTAGTTTTTTTTATATTTCTATTGTTATATACAAATTTAAGGGGAGTAAAAGCGTATTATTATTATTATTATATTATTATATAGGAAGTACCTACCAGGACCTTTCTTGTACCAGTTATATCCTTAAGAATACGTGTACCAGTTTTCAAAGCGATCGTACGTCGTGCACATGATACGTACGCCTTTCTGAGATTAATCCTAGCGATATTGGAACAGATCCATTTTTGACCATCCGTTTGTCCGTGTGCATGATAACTTGTTTAGAAACGTGCGATCGCTTTGAAAATTGGTACACATGGTTTTAAGGATATAAGAAAGGTGTTTTTAAGTTACGTAGACTATCGAGTTCGGTATTCAGATGTATCGGATTTTTATATTTGATTTTGTGACAATGGAAACTTTCCCTAAACATTTTTAAATTGTTCTCAAATATTTGAATAACTTAAAAGTACTGCCTTTTTTGAGGCCGGAAAAAAAATTGTCTGAGATCGAGATCGATCGAGAGTCCATAATTTCAAACAGTTCGAAGATTGGGCTACTAGATCAAAAGTTACAGCCCTTTGAATTTTTTTCGAAATTTGTTTTTTGTCCATAACTTTTTATTGAGAGGTCTAATCGAAAACGTACGAATTGTTTTGGATTCTAAGCACCAAAATTAATAAGAAAAAGTGTTTTCCCGAGAAATTTTGGTGTAGTCTATTTTTGGTAAAAAGGAAGGTTATACACTGCCTTTTTTTGAGGCCCGCCAAAAAAATTGTCTCAGATTGACCCGGAAAAAAAATTTTCTTATAGAATGTCGCTTGTAGAATCCATAATTTCAAACAGTTCCAAGATTGGGCTACTAGTTCAAAAGTTACAGCCCTTTGAATTTTCTTTCGAAATTTTTTTCTAGTCTATAACTTTTGATTGAGAAGTCTGATCGAAAAAGTACGAATTGTTTTGGATTCTACGCACCAAAATTAATAAGAAAAAATGTTTTCCCGAGAAATTTTGGTGTAGTCGATTTTTGGTAAAAAAGGAAGGTTATACACTGCCTTTTTTTGAGGCCCGCAAAAAAAATTGTCTCAGATCGACCCGAAAACAACATTTTCTTACAGAATGTGGCCTGTAGAATCCATAATTTCAAACAGTTCCAAGATTGGGCTACTAGTTCAAAAGTTACAGCCCTTTGAATTTTCATTCGAAATTGGTTTCTAGCCTATAACTTTTGATTGAGAAGTCTGATCGAAAAAGTACGAATTGTTTTGGATTCTACGCACCAAAATTAATAAGAAAAAGTGTTTTCCCGAGAAATACTTTACGAAGTATCCAAATACTTTGCGAAGTATTCGAATACTAAATATTTGTGAAAGTATTTGAGTTACAAAAACAAATACTGCTTCCATAAAAGTATTTAATTATAAAGTATTTGAATACTTTAAAGGATTTGAATACTAAAAATTATTTACAAAATCGAATACTGCCCAGCTCTGCTACTGACTGGACTAAAATGTGTATATTCACAGAATGTTCGAATAATTCAAGAACGTCAAGATCAATCTCAAGAAGAGTATTTCGAATACTCGTTTAAAGAATCTCCTAATGAATCTATTTTAAGGATGCCTTGCAGGATCTCTCAATATCTCGCCAACTCGCGCGTTACCATCCCTCGAAAAATGTTTAGAAAAATTTCGAAGCTTTTAGAAAAACGCATAAACAGTTTCTTCATAATCGCTGCAAGTAAGATAGAATATCCCATAAACACGGAATTTTGAAGAATTTCTCAAACAATTTCACGGGGAATGCTTTGCACCTGTTGGTATCGCTTGGGCAACTTATTGAACTATCCTTGAAAGAATTGTTTTAAGTGAGTACGTAAACTTGAAGAATCCTAGACTGCTTGAAGGAGTTCTTCAAGCGCCGCTTAAAGAACTGCTAAACTTTATGAGTAATTTTTCCAACTCTTGAAGAATCTTTCCTTGAATAAGAAAATTGGAATTGTGTATCTTTGGATGAAGAGTTTTGCTGAAGGGTCTTTTTGGATGAATTGAAAAATTTATTAAAGTTTCTTGAAAATTCTTTTTGAAAAACGTCGTTTTAAGAATTGCATTGAAATCTCTTGAACTTTTTGAGAAATTTCGTACAAGAATCTCTCGATGAATATCCCAAGGAACTTTATGCTGATACTTTGAGTCCTTTAATCAATCGTTTGAAGGACAATTCGCACAACTTTTCTTTTTGGAGGTCTCTCTTGAAGGTAACCTATAAAAATTAGAATTTTCGTGATGGATTTCTGAAAGCATTTATCTGAATAGTCCATTGATGAGTCATAGAAATACCTTTAAGGATTCTTTTTATAAAACGCAAGCAAGAGATAGTAGTTCAGCTTGACGGTAAGATGTCTTTATTAACTTTATTTACATTTCATTTTGCATTATGATTATTACCTTATCAATGAAGCAGGTTAAGCATTGCTTTCCGAAACAAACCTTTAGTGTGTTCCTAAAATATAAGAATGATATCAAAAGAGGTTTTAACATGCCGAAAATACGTACAGTAATATCAAACTCCAAACTCTTATTATACATTTTAGAATACTCCTCCTTGATGGAACCCATCATGTCTGTTTCAGATCTGGGAATAATGATCCTGATCAATTGTTCGTGCCTCTTCTCATTTGCATACATGCAGTGATGTATTTTTTCGGCAAAGTATCCTGGAAGGTTCTTAGCGACGGCAACGATTGTCAAGAGCCCCTCTTTAGCATATCCCGAAAACTCTTCTTCTATGGCGTCTTCAATTTTCTGATCTTTAGGTAATGCGTAGTACTTCAGGAAGATGAATCTCAACTGGTTGTAGTTCCGTGTACATAAGATATCATAGAAGACCTTTTCATTGGTGCCCACTATTTCGACACCTAGTCAATCGCAGATGATTAAAAAACACTGACATGGTAGGAGGATTAACCTGCACCGTAAAGACGACTCGCGTCGGTATCAGCTTTATTCCAATCAGTAAATTTCCTTTCGTCACGTTCTGCACGAAGTATTTCCACTAACAGGTCTTCGAAGTCATTTTTTTTATGTCATCAATTAGCTTAATATGAAACTCTAAAAAACGTGGTTACGAAATAAAGTACTGTTAGTACATTTCTACCAGATTCGTAAGCGTCGATAACAGATAAGATTTGCTTGTTGTTCAAAGTGCAAAGAATTTGGATTAAGACGTCTTCGTCGGTCCCAGTGCCCATCATGGCATTATGCAGCTCTGTGGCGTAAAAGACGGGAGTTGAGACAACTAAAGCAATTATCAGATCGTGACCCACGAGCTCCTCTTTCAAAATCTAAAAGATCGCGGCCACTTGCTGAGAAAGTTTGGCAAACATACAGACCTTGCCATACTTCGTTTTGTACAAATGAGCAATCTCAAGTCGTTGGTCATACAATCTATTGGTCAGAATGTTGACAACTGTTGATAGATCGCCGTCATACAAGGCATCTTTTATTAACTCGCAATCGACTGACGCGTTGAAGATTGCGGGTTGAGGTGATAATCCCTAAAATAGCAATAGTTATTATTATTATTTCACTTTAGAGGGATTTTTTTAATAACATTCTATTGCCTTCGTAGGATTTTCAGGCTCCTTTTGCCTTTGAAAACACTTATATGACCCCGTTAGAACTTTCCAGATGATTCCTAGAGCTTTCTATTTTCGCCCAGATCTAAAAAGTACGTCCCGTACTGGTTTAGAAAGACAATATAAAGCTCTGGGAAGCGACTATGGACCCATGTGCAACTGTCACTTGCTCTGGACGAAACGGAATTGTAATTCAAGATGTTTAGAGATATCCAAAAATAATTTAAATATTCCGAAAAATTGATTAAGCTTGCCCTGCGACCTAAGATTTATAAACACAAATGAGGAAAACATAAACAATATACATTCGTATGTAGTAGCATACTGTGGTAGATTGAGGAATTAATTATTGGGCCATTTCACTGTAGGTGTTCTTTAAAAAATGATTCATGAATAGTCTCGCACTGAATACCTATAAGAATCTCTGAAATATTACGAAATATCTTGTGTAACTTCTGGATCATGGATAATTCCACCAGAAATCTTTGTAAGAAGGTGTTTAAGAACCTTCTAAATATTCTAAAGGATCCGTTGAGCCTCTTAGGACCCTTAGTCTTGAAGCAATGATGCTATATAATATATTATAGCATCCCTGGTCTTGCACTACATCGTAAAAAATATAGATCTCGACGTATCTTTTATAGAACTCTTTAAGTTAAGGAAACCTTTGAAACGCCTTTCAAGTAATTTCTTGAATTCTGTAAAGAATTTTAAAGAATCATTTTTAGTTGTAAATCTTTTCTTCGCACATTGAGATTTGTACAGTAAATATTTTATAAGAATAAGAATGTTATAAGAATTTGCTTGATAATTAATAAACGAAGAATTATAATGAATTTGAAGGGGCAAACAGAAACATGAGATCAAACCTCAGGTATTTGCGACACCCCCGTCTATTCCTATTTATTATTTCACTTTTTAGGGATTTTTTATAACATTCTATTGCATTTTAAACGCTTAAATAGGGAGGTGATTTCTACAGCTTGCTATTTTCACGAAGGTCTAAAAAGAATTGGACATCGACATCGACTGGCACGAATTTTATCGGGATCCAATGTCAGTCAATTCCTTGAAACCAGATGACCAAGGTATTTTACTTGTTGTAAGTTGGAGTTTGGCACCGCGGAACCTCATAAACGCGTCTTCAAGATTCTGGAGGTGTTCATCGAACGTTCGACCAATCACAATTACACACAAACCAAAGGGTATGACAAATGCCATACACCCGACCCTAGCTAAAGGCTGTCTACTCGCGATGTTCAGGATCCAATGTGGGTATGATCTCGATCGCCTTCGCCATCGACCGTTTTCAAGACGCGTTTTTAAAGTCAGTGATGACGGCCTTGATCTTCGCTTTAGTCTAGCGAATTTCACAATCGCTAGAAACGCCTTTTAGATGTCGATACAGCCCCTCCCAGGAGTTCATTGAGATCAAAAGCTGTCGGCTACACGGATCTGATCGCAGTGGCCTATACTCAGAAATTCCGGCAGTTCGACTCATTCTGCTCTGATCATGGTTTTACGTAAACGCCTTTACCTAGAATCCTATGCGTTCCAAAAGCTGTACCGGTAACTCTAAAACCGTTTTTTTTAGATTATAAATTAGAGGGTAGAGTCCTTTGGTGGAATTGACGATCGTCTTGTTCGCATCGTTTTCTACAGGTTCTCGTAATGGATTTAGGAAGTCAGGCTCCAGAAATGCAGCGATAACAGCAGATATCTCCTCTCTCGTATTCAAAAACGCCAACTAAGAATAGTTACACCACAGACTTGCGAAAAGCAGGTTTTCATTTTTTTAATTCGTGTGGAACATTGATTTACGCTCTGAGTCGCATGTAATTGGTAGTGCATAAACGAATGAAGCGGTCAAGATGCCATACTTCATTGATAAGAAGTATTTTTGTGGGTGTTAATTTATCAGAAAAGATAATAAGGATCATTACGGGGAGATTTTTGGGATGCATTCGGTCTTGGGCCACAATATAGTTAGTACGTGGTCCAAGATTTTAGTTTTACTTCGAGTAATAAATGCAAGAGATTAGACCGGTTTTGGGTGACTAAAGCCGTCCGTAGTGAGAGGTTCCATCCTTTATATTTTTAGGAGGGGGAAAGCTGTCTGCGCTCCTTGTTAATATTTTTGTGTGATTTACCCCTTTTAAAGACACTTTCGTTATATCATTGGAAATCATTTAAATTTTTGGACATGCATCGAGGTATGTTCTAAAATTTAAAACCTAGGTTAGCTTTCGAAGGCGTTCTATATTTCCCTGAATGCTTTTATGGTTTTGTAAAGAACATTTTCGGTTACTGGCAGAGTAACAATCAAAACTCTGAACATGCTTTGGGAAGCTTTGACAAAAACTCAGAGAAAACGCTAAGACGACAGGGAAAGGCACTAGAATGACTTCGAAATTGTGTGGAACATTGTGGAGCGTTTTTAAAGCTTTTAAAAGCATTGGAAAGTGTTCACAAGGAAATACTCAGTAGCTGATTATATTTTGAAATATGGAATAATCGACAATTGCACCGAAACCCCAAAACTGCTGAATTAATACGTCCACAACCATGACAGCTAATTAATTTGCAAGAATACCCTTCGATCTATTTACTAAAGAAGGTTATCGCCAGACGCTGTTGATTTACGGATAAACTATCATGCAGATATCAAAGAACTTTGAATATTCTCTTCCTGTGCACTCCTCTCCTGTATTCTGGAACTTGTGCCATTGGTCCACGAACGTATAAATTAAGATGGACTACTAATGCTGAATTAACAAATGACACCTACATGGGGGCCGCCATGATGTGCACTCACATGGCGCAAATCAACTAATAAACAAGCATTAACCTCGCGTTTTCTAAGTAAATTACTGTGACACATGTCATTTTCCAAGGCTGCAATAGTCTCAAAACTTGAGCACTAGGAAAATTCCCCTAGAAAATAACTAAAATGTGGACATCATGGCCGCGCCCATGCTAGGGCCATTTCTACCTCTATGCGACTGTTTGATCAGCAGTCCATCTTAATTTACAAGTTCGTGCATTGGTCCCTCAGGTTTCTTTAGTAGCGCACAGGGATTTGCACTCTATCGGATAGTAAGAGATGGTAGTTTAGCTTGACGGTAGATATCTTTATTAACTTTATTAACATTTCATTTTGCATTATGATTATTACCGTATCAATTAAGCAGGTTAAGAATTGCTTTCCGAAACAAACCTTTAGTGTGTTCCTAAAATAAGAATTATATCAAAAGAGGTTTTAACATGCCGCCAATACGTACAGTAACATCAAACTCCAAACTTTTATTATACATTTTAGAATACTCCTGCTTAATGGAAACAATCACGTCTGTTTTAGATCTGGGAACAATAATCCTGATCAATTGTTCGTGCTTCTTGTCATTTGCATGCATGCAGTGATGTATTTTTTCGGCAAAGTACCCTGAAAGGTTCTTGGCGACCGCAACGATTGTCAAGAGCCCCTCCTTAGCATATCCCGAAAACTCTTCTTCTATGGCGTATTCAATATCATGACGCGGTAATCTGAATTTGTATTCTTGGAAGATTAATCTCAACTGATTGTAGTTGCGTGTACATAAGATATCATAGAAGACCTTCTCATCGGTTCCTACTAGTGTGACACCTAGTCAAGCGCAGCATAAGATTAAAAAAGACTGGAATGGTAGGAGTAAGATTAACCTGCATCGTAAAGACGAATATAGTCGGTTTGGGCTTGATTTAAATCTGTAACTTCTCTTTCGTCACGGTCTGCATGGAGTATTTCCACCAAGAGGTCTTCGAAGTCTCCACTGGTATCACCTTTGATGTCATCAATTAGCTTATTATGAAACTCTAAAAAACGTGGTTACAAAATAAAGTACTGTTAGTGCATTTCTACCAGATTCGTAAGCGTCGATAACAGATAAGATTTGTTTGTTGTTCAAAGTGCAAAGAATTTGGATTAAGACGTCTTCGTCGGTCCCAGTGCCCATCATGGCATTATGCAGCTCTGTGGCGTAAAAGACAGGAGTTGAGACAACTAAAGCAATTATCAGATCGTGACCCACGAGCTCCTCTTTCAAAATCTAAAAGATCGCGGCCATAATTGCTGAGAAAGTTTGGAAAACATACAGACCTTGCCATACTTCGTTTTGTACAAATGAGCAATCTCAAGTCGTTGGTCATACAATCTATTGGTCAGAATGTTGACAATTGTTGATAGATCGCCGTCATACAAGGCATCTTTTATTAATTCGCAATCGGCTGACGCGTTGAAGTCTGCGGGTTGAGGCGATAATCCCTAAAATAGAGGCAATGTCTTGGAAATCCAGCCTTAATATACCTACTTACATCTGCACAGATGAAATATGCAAGGAAGACAAACACATACTTGTACGAACACATTTTTGTACACACTGCCGACTACCGCACTGCTCTTTATATTGAACGGCCGATAACATCTTGACCTTTTAATGGTTTTCCCCATGCAATTATAAGAATTTGCATGATAAACGAAGAATTTATAATGAATTTGAAGACGAAAACAAAAATATGAGATCAAACCTCGGGTATTTGCTACGCCCATGCCTATCAATAGTTATTATTACTATTATTTCACTTTAGAGAGATTTTTTAATAACATTCTATTGCCTTCGTAGGATTTTCAGGCTACTTTTGCCTTTGAAAACATTTATATGACCCCGTTAGAACTTTCCAGGTGATTCCTAGAGCTTTCTATTTTCGCCCAGATGTAAAAAGTACGGGACGGCTGGTTTGGAAAGGCAATATAAAGCTCTGGAAAGCGACTATGGACCCATGTGCAACTGTCACTTGCTCTGGACGCCTTAGAATGCTTTGCAACGGAATCTCTTTAAAGAGGTGTTGAAGAACCTTCTACATATTCTAAGAGCCTCTTAGGACCCTTAGTCTTGACCCAAGGATGCCATATAATGTCCTGCATTTAAGTTTTCACCTTCGCATACGCTTCAGAATTTGTGATTAAGCGCGAGTTATAACAAAAATGAAGTCTGCTTTTACTTTTCTGTATACTGTAAAAAAGCACCCCCGATACAACTACCACATTTGAAATTAGATAGATGAATCCTTACCCAAAAATACAATTTCTTTGTTAAACGGCAGAGCAAAGAGACATCAAGGAACCATTTTGTTTCCTGATCGAAACTTTCTTTTTCCACCTACGCTTCGTCTCTCACAGTCCAAGAATTCAAGACATGTGTCTCTTGGAAAGCTAATGAAGCGAAATCGGCCGTTGCACTTCCAACAATACGAAGTCGCCGCTTTGCCACGCACTTTCCTATTTCTTATGGGCACCATATGGATTACTACGGAGTGAGATAAGAGGACAAAAAGAAGTTATTTACATAAAAGTCAGGAAATGGTCACAATACTGGGAAGGGGGGGGGCCAAGTACTTTAACTTCCGCCGATATCTGAGCTATTTTTAAAGATTTTTCAAAAATTTCAAAAGCGTCGTTTAGTCACAAAAAAATGGTAGCTTTGCCCCCATTTAACCTACACTGTATCCCTCAACCAAAGATCATACTAGATCTTTGCCTCAACGTTACGAAGATCCCAATGCTGAGCTACGAATTTGAATCACCCTGTACATGTAAGTGCGAATGTTTTTTAAAGATAATCTGTCAAAATAAATAAAATATTTGATGTACAACAACAACTACAACTCCCGCAATCGAGGATTGCTACATATATACGTATACGAGTAGGTGTTAATTTTCTAGAAAATTACTAAGTTCCAAACGAGAAGGAAATTTTTTGTTAGAGGACAGTTTCAGGGTTGGCTGTAGATTACTTAAATATAGTCTATAAAAAAAAACAAAATATTTGATGTACAACAAAAATTACAACCCCCCGCAATCGAGGATTGCTATACACGTAGGCGTTAATTTTCTAGAAAATTACATAAGTTTCAAACGAGAAGGAAATTTATTGCTAGAGGGCTCTTTAAGAGTTGTTTGTAAATTACTTAAACATAATCTGTCAAAAAATTCAAAATGTTTGATGTACAACAAAAACTACAACCCCCATATACGGATAGGTGTTAATTTTCTAGAAAAATACTAAGTTCCAAACGAGAAGGAAATTTCTTGTTAGAGGGCAGTTTCAGGGTTGGTTGTAGATTACTTAAACATAATCTATCAAAAAATTCAAAATATTTGATGTACAACAAAAATTACAACCCCCGCAATCGAGAATTACTATATACGTATTAGGTGCTTAATTTTCTAGAAAATTACGTAAGTTTAAAACGAGAAGGAACTTTATTGTTAGAGGGCAGTTTCAGGGTTGGTTGTAGACTATTTAAATATGATCTGCCAAAAAATTTAAAATATTTGATGTACAACAAAAACTACAACCCCCGCAATCGAGGATTGCTATACACGTTGGGGTTAATTTTGTAGCAAATTACGTAAGTTTCAAACGAGAAGGAAATTTCTTGTTAGAGGGCAGTTTCAGGGTTGGTTGTAGATTACTTAAACATAATCTATCAAAAAATTCAAAATATTTGATGTACAACAAAAATTACAACCCCCGCAATCGAGAATTGCTATATACGTATTAGGCGTTAATTTTCTAGAAAATTACGTAAGTATAAAACGAGAAGGAACTTTATTGTTAGAGGGCAGTTTCAGGGTTGGTTGTAGACTATTTAAATATAATCTGCCAAAAAATTTAAAATATTTGATATACAACAAAAACTACAACCCCCGCAATCGAGGATTGCTATATACGGATAGGTGTTAATTTTCTAGAAAATTACTAAGTTCCAAACGAGAAGGAAATTTCTTGTTAGAGGGCAATTTTAGGGTTGGTTGTAGATTACTTAAACAAAGTCTATCTAAAAATTCAAAATATTTGGTGTACAACAACAATTACAACCCCCGCAATCGAATATTGCTATATACGTAGATACTAATTTTCTATAAACATACGTAAGTTGCAAATGATAAGGAAATTTATTGTTAGAGGGCAGTTTTAGGGTTGGTTGTAGATTACTTAAACAAAGTCTATCTAAAAATTCAAAATATTTGGTGTACAACAACAATTACAACCCCCGCAATCGAATATTGCTATATACGTAGATACTAATTTTCTATAAACATACGTAAGTTGCAAATGATAAGGAAATTTATTGTTAGAGGGCAGTTTTAGGGTTGGTTGTAGATTACTTAAACAAAGTCTATCTAAAAATTCAAAATATTTGGTGTACAACAAAAATTACAACCCCCGCAATCGAATATTGCTATATACGTAGATATTAATTTTCTATAAAAATACGTAAGTTTCAAATGAGAAGGAAAATTATTGTTAGAGGGCAGTTTTAGGGTTGGTTGTAGTTTAGTTAAACAAAATCTATCAAAAAATTCAAAATATTTGGAGTACCACAAAAACTACAACCCCCGCAATCGAATATTGCTATATACGTAGATATTAAATTTCTATAAAAATACGTAAGTTTCAAATGAGAAGGAAATTTATTGTTAGAGGGCAGTTTTAGGGTTGGTTGTAGATTACTTAAACGAAATCTATCAAAAAATTCAAAATATTTGGTGTACAACAAAAATTACAACCCCCGCAATCGAATATTGCTATATACGTAGATACTAATTTTCTATAAAAATACGTAAGTTTCAAACGAGAAGGAAATTTATTGTTAGAGGGCAGTTTTAGGGTTGGTTGTAGTTTACTTAAACAAAATCTATCAAAAAATTCAAAATATTTGGAGTACCACAAAAACTACAACCCCCGCAATCGAATATTGCTATATACGTAGATATTAATTTTCTATAAAATTACGTAAGTTTCAAACGAGAAGGAAATTTAATGTTAAAGGGTAGTTTCAGGGTTGGTTGAAGATTACGTAAACGAAATCTATCAAAAAATTCAAAATATTTGGTGTACGACAAAAATTACAACCCCCGCAATCGAATATCGCTATATACGTAGATATTAAATTTCTATAAAAATACGTAGGTAAGTTTCAAATGAGAAGGAAATTTATTGTTAGAGGGCAGTTTTAGGGTTGGTTGTAGTTTACTTACAAAATCTATATACGAAGATATTAATTTTCTATAAAATTGCGTAAGTTTCAAACGAGAAGGAAATTTAATGTTAAAGGGCAGTTTTAGGGTTGGTTGTAGATTACCTAAACGAAATCTATCAAAAAATACAAAATATTTGGTGTACAACAAAAATTACAACCCCCGCAATCGAATATTGCTATATACGTAGATACTAATTTTCTATAAAAATACGTAAGTTTCAAATGATAAGGAAATTTATTGTTAGAGGGCAGAGGGTTGGTTGTAAGGAAATTTATTGTTAGAGAAGCAATTTTAGGGTTGGTTGTAGATTACTTAAACAAAGTCTATCTAAAAATTCAAAATATTTGGTGTACAACAACAATTACAACCCCCGCAATCGAATATTGCTATATACGTAGATACTAATTTTCTATAAACATACGTAAGTTGCAAATGATAAGGAAATTTATTGTTAGAGGGCAGTTTTAGGGTTGGTTGTAGATTACTTAAACAAAGTCTATCTAAAAATTCAAAATATTTGGTGTACAACAACAATTACAACCCCCGCAATCGAATATTGCTATATACGTAGATACTAATTTTCTATAAACATACGTAAGTTGCAAATGATAAGGAAATTTATTGTTAGAGGGCAGTTTTAGGGTTGGTTGTAGATTACTTAAACAAAGTCTATCTAAAAATTCAAAATATTTGGTGTACAACAAAAATTACAACCCCCGCAATCGAATATTGCTATATACGTAGATATTAATTTTCTATAAAAATACGTAAGTTTCAAATGAGAAGGAAAATTATTGTTAGAGGGCAGTTTTAGGGTTGGTTGTAGTTTAGTTAAACAAAATCTATCAAAAAATTCAAAATATTTGGAGTACCACAAAAACTACAACCCCCGCAATCGAATATTGCTATATACGTAGATATTAATTTTCTATAAAATTACGTAAGTTTCAAACGAGAAGGAAATTTAATGTTAAAGGGTAGTTTCAGGGTTGGTTGAAGATTACGTAAACGAAATCTATCAAAAAATTCAAAATATTTGGTGTACGACAAAAATTACAACCCCCGCAATCGAATATCGCTATATACGTAGATATTAAATTTCTATAAAAATACGTAGGTAAGTTTCAAATGAGAAGGAAATTTATTGTTAGAGGGCAGTTTTAGGGTTGGTTGTAGTTTACTTACAAAATCTATATACGAAGATATTAATTTTCTATAAAATTGCGTAAGTTTCAAACGAGAAGGAAATTTAATGTTAAAGGGCAGTTTTAGGGTTGGTTGTAGATTACCTAAACGAAATCTATCAAAAAATTCAAAATATTTGGTGTACAACAAAAATTACAACCCCCGCAATCGAATATTGCTATATACGTAGA